TAGGCAAGATGGTTTCTTTAGACTTGATTATCTTTCATGAATTAAGGTGAATATACTTGTCCCAGGATAATGTTGCAGGATCCAGTCTGGGTCAGTCACCAGAACCAGAGAGTTTTCGGACTCATGCTGGAGCCCATCTTCAAGGAACCTCTCTCTAGTGGAGTGTGTGCTTTGGGCTATTCTGTGTATTTGATTTTATTTATCTTTTACTTACAGAGATTATGTTTCCAAGGAGCTCCTAGCACAGGGAGACGCAACTAAGATTAAAAACCCTTGCAAAGACTGAACACTAACACTGGATTACAGGAAGAGAGAAGAAATGTTTTGATGTTATGCATCACACAATATTGCAGCCAAATTATTTTCAGTCCATTACTTTATATTGTTCTTCTGTATGGATGTAAATAGTTCATCATTTACTAATGGATTCAAGTGGATTCACGTCCAGACTCTACCACAAAAAATTCACTTAGGACTTTGGGCCAATCACACTCCTTCAGTCTTGCCTATCTCACTGGCTATTGCTGTCGGGATACAATGAAGAGAAATTCTCATGCGAGTCACTCTATGATCTTAGAGGAAAGACAGAAATCACATACGTAAACAAAAATGTTGGGTTGTATGCTAGGAGAAAACAATTATTGAATAAAACTGTGTTTTTATATAATACACATTGGTCTCCACAGATGGCAACAACCAGCTGGCTTTACCTGTTTATAATTAAGCAGGCTTAATTCTGATTAAATATTTGGATGGGATTCCTCCAGGTAATATCAAAACTAGACGCTAGAAAAAGACAAAGCATTGTTGTCAGAAAATTAGGCAGACAGTTGTGTCACTGAAGTGAGAAGACAGAAGTAACCTTCTTTCAAATTAAGGACCCAAAACATTCCACTAATTGAAATGGTAGGAATGGCAGGAATTCTTCTTTATTCCTCATTTTTTAGCTGAAGCTAAAAAGAAGTTCTATCATTTGTTAAATAACGAGAAGGATACTATTTCATGGGCTTTCTCCAGCTCATTTCATATGCATTCCACTGAATGACCTGCACACATGATTATGCGTGGGAAGTTAAGAAGACTATTAAAACTCTATGCCCTTATCGCTGTTAATGATGAAAAATTGAGATTGATGATCTAAAAATAATAAAATAGAATAAATGGATGTTGAAAATGACGACAGCTTCTGGAAGTACCAAATGTGCATTCCTTCACAATTTTTGATAGAAACCTAATAAGAAAATATAATAAAGTAACAATGTGACTTTGTGTTGCTAAGGAATCATATTTCCTTTAAAATGGACAATGCTAGAATGCAATGGTTCTATGAAATATCTATCCTGCACCCAACAGATGGTATGAGCATAAAATCTCTCACAGTAACACATTTTTCTGTTGAAATATAGTGAAGAACAGTAATTTCATTGCTGGTTGGTTATTTTGAGCTGTGTTATAGAAAAGAGACATATTTGAAGATTATCAACAGCAACAGACTGATGGACAAGTTCTCAGTGAGGTGGTTAATCTGTGTCCAAGCTTTATCACTTGTGATTTCTGGTGGGTGGACAGGGTTCATGCCTAGTTGACGCTTCTTTGTAAAAGTAATTATTTCTACATAGAAGACAGGTAATTCCGCAACATTGAATTGCTTATGTAGTCAGATATTTCCAAGCTTAAAACCTACCTTTGTTTAAAGATGAAGGTAGGCATTCAAGACAGGCAGGCAGGCAGATACAAAAGGAGAACAACTCACTCATTTTTTCCCCCTTTATATCTTCCCCCAAAAACCTTTCAGAGCTAGGGCTTTTATGGAGAGTGGGAGGTAAATATACAAAATGGTAGCCCCCTTTTTTTAGTTCATCACCTTTGCTATCTTGCCTTTTTTTGGTCCACCCCAAGTGGACAACACTGCATCAGAATATTGGAGAAGCCCATCAAATGGTTGCACTGTTTTTCTGGCAGTAGGAGATCACCCCATATTGGCAGAGGCCTCTAGAGCAAATATTTTGCCTATATTTGTTAAGTCCTGTAATTTGGCTTCATGTGGGTACCTAATACTTCATTTGTGAGTCATTTGTATTTACTGTAAATGCCGGCGTATAAGGTGACTTCCGCGAGCGCTGAAATTGGCGCCAAAGATGAGGGTCGTCTTATACGCCAAGTCATCTTATACGCCGGAAATACTGGTAGTTTCCGGCGTATAAGATGACGTTCTAGGAATGCAGCCCGGCTATAAAGACGGGGGTCGTCTTATACGCCGGGTCGCCTTGTACGCCGGCATTTACGGTATATTGCAAAGTAGAATATCACCTGCTTGAATCTGTTGAAATCTAGCACTAGATGGCATAAGCAGAATGATCTTTTACAGTGTTTATTGAAGAATGATTCAAGGCTCCCTGGGGGTCCCCTAGATCCTCTAAGCCAAGGGTCCCCAACCTGTGGGCTATTGCCCACTAATGGGCCATGAGGGGATTGCAACTGGGCCACGGAAATGGTGAGCAAGCACATGCATGCACACATGCATCCTAACTTGCACGAGCAGCGGACGAGCGCATGCATGAGTGGCAGGCACATATGCATGCTGCTCACTCAAATAGAGCTGTATTAATGTGTGTGCGCTTACCGACCATTTACGCAGAACCATCCCCTCTTCCCCCGCCGGACTGCAAAGCCAAAAACTTTGGGGAACTCTGCTCTAAGCAGTCTACGAAATCAAATATTTCAGTTTACAAAAATTTAAAACAATGGCACTCTTCTCATTATTACTTTTTGGTAAAAATAGTCTTTTTTAAATAAAAATTTTAACATTTAATCAATTTAATATTGTTACTTTTGTGATTCTATAAATAATTTTTGCATATGTCAATTTTAATTAATATGCTAAATATTGATAAATGTAACCCATGCAAGCAAAATCCTCCATAATTTTTAAAAGTAGATATGGGTCCTAAGAGCAAAATTTTAAGAAACAACTATCTATTGTACTGTTCCTTAAAGTACAATAAATTTTTCAGTGCAAGAAGGGAGAAAAAAGCCAATCTCATAATACTTTTGCAAGAATTCATTATGTCTCACATCCCACTGGGCTGGGAGAGTGAGGATACTATTAAAAAGAGACCCCAGCAGAAGTTTGAAAGAAAATCCCCCAATCTCAGGAAACCACAAAAAAGTGCTCCTAATTCACTAAGAAAGTGCCTAGAAATCTCCCCATATTGAAGTAACACAGATAAAAGGGTGGTAAATGTCATCTGATTTGTTTTTAGAGTCATTAACCTTCTTCCTTTTTCACACTTTCTGGTGAGGAGCATTGCTTTTTTCATGCTATAAATCAGTGCATCATAACAGCTATTTTACACCAATCTTGGCCTGATCAGTCCTGACAACTGTGAATCTTGGCCTGATCAGTCCTGACAACTGTAAACTACTATTTTTTTCAGACTCTTTAATGCAGAACACATTTTTAAATCTTTTCTTTCTCGACATCCAAGGCTAGGTTGAAGTCTTGTTTAAACAACCTTAATATTTTATGCTGTATTTTTAAATTGTTTTGACCTAGGTACTAATGAACCACATGACAATTGTTTTGACCTAGGTACTAATGAACCACATGACCCGATATATCTCCAATAATTAATTAATTACATTTGTATGCCACCCAGCTCTCCAATAAGGCGACTTAGTGCCTTATAGTGCCAGTTGGCTTAGTGACTGAGGCAGGACTAGAACTTGTGATCTCTTGGTTTCTAGCCTGATGCCTTAACCACTACATCAAACTGGCTCTGAATAATATATTATTAGTATATATAACAAAGTATAATGGGAGAAATGTTGTCTTAACTATAAACATCATTAATCTTTTCATTATTGCCATTCGGTTATATGTTAGCTAATGGACCAAATTAATTCATCTGTCCTTGAATTACATTACCCATCAGTACTTGGCCAAGGTTAATGAATAATGAAGATCTATCATGTATGAGCAGAGCTGCTTATCCATTTCGGGATCCAATCATATGTTTCATTAGATCAGTAATTATCATGATCCCTTTAGAAAAACGAAAGTCTCTTTCAAGATGAGTCTGACCTCTGGTCACTATGCATCTATATTATTTTATGATAACACTGTGGAAATAGCCATCTATTTTATTATTTATTTATTTACTTATTTATTAAATTTACATGGTCTCCCATCTCTTGAAAGGTGACTCAGGTGATACTCAACAAGCAATAAAACCACATATTGAAATACACACAGATACAACAAATATAAAAATCACATTTAAAGTATCATAAAAACAAAGATTCTAGATTCTACGATTTGGGGGAGGGGGAAGGGAGTTATTTTCCATCTTAGTCTATAGCCCAGTGTGTCTCAACCTTGACAATTTTAAGGCATGTGGACTTCAACTCCCAGAATTTTGACCATTGCTGGCTGTGGAATTCTGGAAGTTGAAGTCCACATGCCTTAAAATTGTCAAGGTTGAGAAACGCTGTTAGCCTTCTTGGTCTAGTGATTAAAGAACCAAGACGGAAACCTGGAGACTGAGTTCTAGTCTTGTAATAGGTATGAAAGTCACTTTCTCTCTTAGCACATGAGTTCAAGCTCAGGTGACAAGCCAGTTGATCAATTAATTCCTGTTGCAACCAAATGGATGGATACTCAGTTGATCTTTAAAAAGTGGATCCTGCACATGTGAGAAAATGCTAGGAAGAAAAAAAATATATAGCTTTAGGATTCTACAATGGGATCATCCCATCCAAGTGCCAGTAAGCATATATAATGCACATAAAAACAGAATTTCACCATCTTGATTTTTTGACCAAATCCCAGGGATATCCTTGCAACTATGTGACCTAGCCCAATCTTAGTATATCACGATCTGTAATGCAGGTGAATTTCTCCATTGTTTTCTTAATTAAACATGATTTTTAAAAAGTTAGATCTCAGTAAAACAAAGCATTTAGTTTCTCTTTATCTTTCTCAAAAAAAAAAAAAATAGGAAGAAGCTAGAATAAAAACTGTGGAAGCCCTTGAGAACTTTGACTTCGGTCAGACGGAGAAGTGTGTTAGGATCAATTCAGTGTCTAGTGGTCTTGCAGAAGAAGATATGAAGGTCATTTTGAAATCCAAGATTCTTCCTACTAGCCTGATGCTCCCGAAGGTTGACAGCGTAGAAGAAATAAAATGGGTGAGTCAAAACATCTGCCATTATCTCAAATAAAGACGTGCATCCAATTTCAGAAGGGAAGAAATAGAATATCATGAAGCAAATATGAAATACTTCTGCTGTTAGTACTCGATTCAGTTCACGTATTGTATAATTTACTCATTTTGTTTTGGAATATCAAACAGTAATTTAGCCCCAAAGTTTCTTATCTTCTCATAAGCAAAAACTAAATCAGATCTGAGAATTGTGACAGTGGTCCTATGCAGGAGAGAACCAAATCACATTTAATAAATTTAAAACCCTATTTTCAAGACCCACAGGACAAGGAGAATAGTTTGTAACTGCAGATGCATTATGTATATATAAAAAGAGGTGGATTTAGAAATGCAATACTAATATATTATAATGCAGTTTTGACAAAGTAAAATTAAACAAAAACTGTTAAGAATCAATGCTTCTGTTCATTATACTTGCAGCCTAACAGTCATGATATAGAATTTATTCTCCATGTTAGAACTGTCAACCTCCAGCTTGAATATCTTTTCACTTTTGACAAGAACATTTTGGTGGATGGAGGAAGCATTTTACCAACATGTGAAAAAAATATGGTAGAGATAGAAGGAAAGGTCACATGTAAGGGCAATCAAAAGAATAAACAGGAAGCTTTTAACTAGTGTTTTTAATTAGGAAAGATATTATTTCCTGTCCAGCCCTATATGTCTTCCTTTTAAATTGCTGGCAGGTGTGTTTGTTTTTCATGACTGACTTTTCAGCCCATAGAAACAGAGATGTAAATAGTTAGTCTGTTAAATTGCATAAGAAAATGCTGAAATGGGCCTAATTATACTATAATTGTGTTGACTGTTGAAGAGGAATTTTCATTTCATTTTACCATATTATTTCTTGAGAACATTATTGAAGTCAATCAAGCTTCATTATACTTTGTTTTCTGAGCATGGGGTAGAGATGAAGATGAGCACACATTAAATGTACAATCCATAAAGGAAAAAAATGGGGATAAATAGATTCTGAAGTTCAATCACGTGTCCTCATCTAGTCTAAATCTACTAGTTTTAAGTGAACATAGGATCTTTATAATTCTTGCCCAGTCAGCAAGTCAGGAAAGTATTGTTTAGTAATTGAGTCTACTTATTAATCAAGTATCAGTGAAAGAAAACATTCTAACATTCAGAAAATCTAACGTCCAGTAGGTTCAAACATACTCACAACAAATCATTTGATTCTTTATTTTATCACATTCAGTGGATCTTACAGACAGCAAGATCTAAATTTATAATAGCACTTACAACTGCTATAAAGAAGATTGGAAATTAATTCTCTTTTTTGTTGCTTTTTAAAAACTTTTTTCCCCTTTCTTGCACTTTTAGCTTTCTTTATTTCTTTTTCTGTTCATTTTCTTTCTTTACATTACTTTGTATTAGTTTTTATTTCCCTTTAAAAATTGTATATATATATATATATAATTAGTATGTATAAATATACAAAAATGTATTTTTGTAGATACATGTAAAAAGATCTAAAGGCCTTTTGTTGATTGAGCAAACAGCAGACTAACACATCTGAGAGTTGGTTATGCATATTTGTATTTCCATTCTATCCAAGGTTTTAGAACGATTCAATAAATATTCCCTGGGTGTGAGAAGACTGGACTCTAGTTTCCCTCAGCCTTGATTTTTCCTGGAAGCAGAGCCCATCTTTCCTTCCTCAATCCTCTCCTAGATGCGTTCCTCTTACTTTGCTTTTAAGATGGCTATTGCTGTGGAAAGCTTTTGGCTGTTTATTTTTGTCCTTCATTTTGATTTATGTGAAGCCTAAAACCTGGAGACTGATGCACAACTAAAAGACGGGCTTACTTGTTTCCTTTTGTGTGAGAATCTCTTGCTCTCTCTTTGTCCTTCAGATGGGTACTTGTTTGACTGGCATGGCTTATTGGACTATAACAAGCCTAACTCTGGCTCTTTTGTTGTGGGACAATCCGCCCACAAATCCTGAACAGTGGGCATTCTTCCCAACACACTATTGGGTGTGCACTGGAATTGAAAGAATGGCTAAAGCCTGCGCCTTCATCCCCTCCCCAATCTTTGTTTTCTGTCTCCCCCCTTTCCTTTTTTCCAGCCCTCTCACTGAAATGAACACTTTACCAAGCCGGAAACATTTAATTGTCTCCTTTTGAAAAAAAAAATTAATTGAAACTTCTCCACTAGTTGCCTTTTGTATTTGGTGCTAATAGTACTTAAAAGGGGGAAAAGGAAGGAAGGAGGAAGAGAAAAATAATTAAAATGGGAAAAAGAAACATTATTGGATTCAGACTTTATCTGATGGTTCCCAAATCAAGACATAAAGATTTCAGCAGATACACAGAAGTAGCATTTGGACGGGAGGGGGGACTTCCATTTTTTTAATCATTTAACTTACAAAGAAGCTCCAATATAAAATTTAAATTTTGAGTATTCATGCTTGTGATATTATTAGTGAATAGCTTTGTTTGATTATCACACTGTTGGTCTAGCATCAGATTACGGCTCTGTGTCCATTGGCCCTTACTTCTAAGTAGGCAGGTTGATAGAGGGTTGGGCTTCCTAAGTCTTGCTTCTTATTCCTTTTCTTGACTTTCTTCCCTTAATTCCTTACATTCTGGGATTTACTAGCTTGTGAAAAGATCAGACAAGCAGTGGAAGTGGTGACAAGGGTGGCTGCATGAAAAAAAAAGGGAAGGACAGAGAATATGCAGAAAGAATTTTTTGAATTATTTTGACCTAATGTAAAGCTCCTGAAAAGTGGTTAGAACCCTTTTCAAGATGCTGTGGTTCTATTTTCATTTTGTTTTGGGGAGGGGTGAATTTGGGGGGGAAGAGAAGCGCTAAAAGGGGAAATAACACCTCTAATCCAGTTTCTAGTAAATAGGCTGCCAGGTTTCAAAATGAGTTTCCTTTATATTAGTCAGAATATTATGCTAAGCCTTAAGCATTAGTTTTTTATGTTGCCATAGCAGCCTTATTCCTGCAGGGTTGTGACCTGTGATGATTACAGTACAAAGCTTATAGGGACTTGAAACCCCCTTTGAAGATGAAAAGTCTTTGATGGTTTATATTTATGCAAATCTCTTAGATATGATTTACCCAACTGAGACTGAATGGAGAGATGATTAAAATTCCCTTTTTCTTTGATAGCCATTAATGGTTAAATATTCCTTAAATATAAAAATGATGCAAGATTTTTTCCCTCCTGTCTTTATTGACTAAAATTTACTTAGCATACCTGTGATATGTTTATCTCCCCACACATTGCTAGATCTGGACAGACATAATAGATTTACAATATACTGAGGTAGTTTCTCCCCCTCCTTCTCTTTTGAAAAGAGAAAAAGAGAAAAAAAGAAATCTGTACAAGAGCTTTTGTATGTTCCCAGATGATAGATTTGGGAATCAGGGGTACCCCACCGGCAGCTCAGAGCTAGCTGTGAACTGCTCTCATGGAAAAAATTGGAAAGCTTTGGTCTTCAAAGAATTAAACTTCTTTTTAAGGCCCTTCCTAGGTAAGCAAAAATTATGAAGAAAAGGCCTCCAGGACAAAGGGTAACAAGGCTGTGATGAATTATGTGGATGCCACTTTGGAAGGCTAGAAAAAATATAGGCATGTCAGTGTCAAACATGAAATAAAACAGAATTGTCAGGTATATGAATCCTTCCTTGTTTTAAAGATCCTGCTTATTTGCATTTAATAAAGGCAGGGTGATGATAGGTATTAGGCAAATATGTATGCAGCTAAACCTGTACTGCTGGAAACATATGAGTAATGCCAGCATTCTTCAAGATAGGCCTTATAATAACAGACTCAAAACACAAGGGCAGAGAATTGGACTAGCAATCTGGACGCTGGATTGTCTGCTTGCTGGTTGGTAATTTTGTGCAAAGAAATTACAGACCATTTTTGTAGAGTTTTTTTTTTAAAAAAACAAAACAAAACCAGGCCCTAATATTGTGTCCTCTCTGTAATGTTCTTAGTTTATAGAGAAATGTGCATGGCACTTACAAGGCCGAACACTCATAGAGCCGATCAATTTCATTCCTTTTGTGGAAACTGCAATGGGTTTGCTCAATTTTAAGGTAAGAAAGATCTGTTTAATTCAGTAACTCTGAATAAAGTCCTAAACGTATAGATTATACATCCCATTAAATAAATAATTAACACCTTCATAACTGGAAATGGGAAACAAACTATTATGTTTTAAAAATTATATCGCTTTCATATTTTATATAAATCCATTCATTTAGCCCTAATTATTACATGACATAGGTGCTGCTTTCTTCTGTACTACTGCAATTACTTTAAGCTCGTCAGTATTAATACACTGTATAAAAGACACGCAAGTCTCAAAAATAGCCCCAAATAGTTTTTTGAAATATTCTAACAACTATCATGATTTATTTTCTCTCTTTTGCCTTTGAATTTTAGGCATCATATTTAATATTTTAAAAGCATTTTAAAATGGAATTGAAAGAATATTGATTTTTTTTCCTCCCAAATTTGAAGATTTTTTTTTTTAAAAAATGTTCATGCTCAACTGGCCCTAAGAGTTAAAACAAAATACATGAGAATTTTCAGGATGTAATATCCCTATGACATGACTATGTGTACAATCGTTTTCTCTTCCGTTTTTCTACCTCCTCCCCCTTCTCAATGGTGATGAATGCATGCAGATAGCCTATTTTTGGCATCCAACCTGTGGGTTTCTGTGGAAGAAAGATATTAATGCTGAAACTTAGTGCAGCCCAGTCAGGCCAAGATTTCTTGTAAAAGTTTGGTATTATTTGAAGGAGATACTAGGAGGCCTTTGTGGCTATTGTGTTAATATAAATCCCAGTTTTAGAGATTTTTTTCAGTGTAGGCTAAAGAACTACTAATTATACATCTTAATGCAAAAGGTTTAAGTACTTCCTCCTCTCATTTAATTAATATTATCTCTTTCCTCAAAAATGAACCCCAAAGAAAAAGAATAATTAAATTCTGTCCTGAAAAAATATCAACTATGATTTTCTATGCTTAGAAGTTGTAGAGATTAAAATGGCACTACAGGTACTGATTATGTCTGCTTACAGTATTGCTTAAAATAAGCTGAACATATTTTAGCTGGTTATTCACAGAAAGATTCTTGCCAGCATTGCATTATTGCTATCTATCAAATTATATTTCTAAATAAATAAATATTTTATTATTCAAAACTTGCAATGATACTGGAAAACTTGCAATGATACTAGAAAATCCCCAAGATATCATTTTCAAATGATTTTCTATGCTACTTGTTGGATTTTTTTATCTCCTGTAATTATATTAATTTGAAGATATATAAGGAGCATCAGTTGATAACATACCAACTGCCTATTAAATTGTGAGTAGTTGCAATCTCCATCTGCAATGTATTAAGCCAAATATGCTTCAGTTGTGTTTCTCTGCAGTGCTAAATATTTGGAATCTTTTAAAAAGTCCCATACTTTACACACTATGTAGTGATTTTTATTTTTTTATTACACAAGTCCAAAAGTAGTTGTCACATTGGAAAAACCTTTAACATAAAATCCAATAGGGAAATAAAATATTATATTCTGCATTTTCGTTTTAATTATACTGCATTTTTACATCCAGAATATTTATTTTTTAAATTTGGGTGTGGCTATCATTTGTTATTATTTTAGGATAAGAAATATAACAAAAGTATCTTTTTTATTACAAAACTAATTTTTGAAATGCTGCTTCTTGTATTAATATTTATGTTGCACTTAAAGGCTGTTTGTGAAGAAACTCTGAGAAGAGAACCACAGGTTGGCCTTCATTTAGACGCTGTGGTATTTGGAGGCGAGGATTTTCGTGCCAGTATAGGTATTACCTTTTTAAAAGAATATGTTAATTCAGCAGTGGTTATGATACTGTGCTCCATTTGGTTTTACCATATGCCTACTGAAATCAATAGTAAATATATTTGACTATATCTGATTGTAATTCTATGATAAACTTTTGCATTATCTTTATAGGCTAAATAGTCTAAGAATTAACATTAACCTGATAAAGCTGTAATTTTTGCAAAAAAAGAAAATAGAAAATTCTGTTTACTGGCATATAAAAAATAATATAAGATTTTATGGGGGAAGTTAATAATGAGACCATCTCTTTATATGCACATTTAAAATTTAAATATTTTTTAAAATTCTTGAAGTAATAGAATGTATATGATGTAATATTTTGGTGTACAAACTATGAACTATTCTTAATACTTTAGCACTCTATCTTTATTTGCATGTCTATTTGATTGCACATGTCTTAACATATGTGCTTGCTGCCTGGGGATACAAGAGTTGTAGACCAAGACCATATGGAGGGTAACAAATTAAAAAAAAATGCCCTGGGCAAATAATTTATTTTTATTGCCTCTGTATCTTCAGATATTGTTTATCATTTTTCAAAAAGTAAACAAGGTCAGCAGCTCTTCTTTTTATTATTCACTTATGGCAGGTCCCTAAGTGTGAACTGGATTGCCTAATAAGAACTTGTGGATTATGTTCCCACAATGCAGGATTCCATATTTAATTGACTATAGCTTGGGGAATTAACTCAATTTCCTAGATCAGTGTTTCCCAAACTTGACAATTTTAAGGCATGAGGACTTCAACTCCCAGAATTCCACAGCCAGCAACGCTGGCTGTGCAATTCTGGGAGTTGAAGTCCACATGCCTTAAAATTGTCAAGGTTGAGAAACACTGTCCTAGATCCATACTGAGTTATAAACTTATCATATTGGATACTTTCCACACACACACTAAACCACAGCTTAAACAGTCACATTCTAGTCTGACATGTGAACCCAACCTCTGAGGACAATGCAGTTCAGAATCAGCCCTACCAAAAGAAAGAAATTCAATATATAATGATGCATAATAAGACCTTCAGCAGGTTTTCTGTTAATGCTTCAAAACAAATCTCAAGTATTCTACTTAAGATATTAAATATAAACATTATTTCAAAGTTAAAATTTTAAAATTTGAATAAATTATAAGAGAAATTAGTATACTTACATAAGTATACATATACTTATGTAAGTGTAAGTAAATACATAAATAAATAATTAAATAAATTTATGTAATGTGTATAACCAAAAGGTTTCCTTATGATACCAAAAAAGCAATTTTAGATGCATTACTGGCACTACTATGGATTAAATGAGTTCAGCATCATTTAAGGATATTTTCTTAATGTTTGTGTATGTTTTATTACATCCATTATTTTGTAGTGGGCCTTTTTAATAAATAAAAATAGATGGTAGCAAAACTAAATGAAATTTATTAAAAATAGATGTAGTAAGAAAGCAAGTGTCTGTGAGTTGAATAATAGTCTTTCAAAGATTTCTTAAAAATTGTAATCACATAACAATCTCTTATTATCTTTCTTTTGAAAATCGAAAACAAATGTATTCTTAACTAAAGCTCTGTTATAATCATTTGAAATATGAGAATTAAATTTTTATACACAATGTGATCTTTCATTTCAGGTTCAACAAGTAGTAAAGACACTCATGATATTCTTTACGCACGGCAAAAAATTATTGTCACAGCAAAGGCTTTTGGTTTGCAGGCCATAGACCTTGTCTTTATAGATTTCCATGATGATGATGGTCTACGTAAGCAATCAAAAGAGGGTGCCTCAATGGGTTTTACTGGTATGCCTTTTAGTTAATATTTCAAATATATTAATCTTCTTCTTAATCTTAGACCAGATACGATACTCTAGAGTCTGCTTCATAACTTAAGCCTACTCGGTGGATGGTCAAAGAATTCTAAAACTATAACTTTTCAGAATTTTTGCTTTAAGACAGCAGAGGAAACACTCAAGGTGGAAAAATTAAGCCCTTAAAATTCTTTCAGCGTATTGCACCCATGTGTTATTCTTTTGTTAGCAAAAGTACAATATAAACAATGCATAGTCTCCTGCTCTTACCATTCAGCCGAGACATAATCTTGGCCAAAAGTCTGGGCACATTCCATTTTCCCATTCAGCAAGCCTGCAGGCATACATTTATACTCAAAAATTGTTCCCACTGCACTTTGTATGTCAGATGCTTTAAAGGTCTTTAGCTGATTTGACCAAAACTTTCCCCTATATACAAATAGCTATTATACGTAGATTCAATTGAATAAATGGAAAAAAAATCTTGAGAGCCAGGATTTTATTATGAAGTATATGAGAAACCCCCATCCCACCCCATATGCTAATTCGGCTTTGATAGCTATTTTCCTGTCAGTCTTCTCTGTGAGCTGCTGTCCTATATTCTGAGTTGTTTCCCAGTAATTGCCTGTTCACCTGATGACACCTACGGGTACTGGCAACACTGCACAATCAAGCAAGCTTCTTACAGCCAGCCACTGTAACCTAGGCATTTCACCCGTGATTGGTACACTAGATCATACAAGCACCCCTGTGAGACACGACACATAACAAAGATTGCAGTTTCGTGATAAAAATCAGCTACTTAGCTCACACATGCAGCCTTTAATGTGTTTCAAAAACAACAGCACCAACACTGCAGTGATATGTTTCATTTGCTTTACATAGAAGGTATGCAAGTTTTAATACCAGGGAGTTCTTAATCTAATAAGAGGCCAGTTTTAAATAAAAAGATCCGAATGCAAACATGGTATCTTGCTGGCTTCTGGGGGAATTAAATTGAAAGAACTGCCTGAATTGCTAGGTGGCCTGGAGGATACTTATTCTGAAAAACACAGACACAAACACACAAACTAGAGGGATTTGTTTTCTATTCTTCTAAATGAGAATTTACAAAAAGAATCAACCAATGACTTGATTAATTGCAAAATATGTGCATGTTTCCCCCTTATTTGAATCGATTTTTGCTAATATTATTTTATAGCAAAAAGATAAAGATCTATGTCTGTATAGTTCTCTTGACAACATAGAAGTGGTTTCTCATGGCCTCCTTCCAGTCTGTGCTCCAACTTTCTAATCTCTGATGATCTCCATCTCACCATTAATCAGAACTTCTGAACTTTTCAAGATTGGTCCCAGTTAGCTGTGAGGATGTACTTACCCGTAGCAAATTATTTTTCCTTCTTTGAAAAACTGTTTGAAAAAGACCTGTTCACCTGGATTAAAGCTAGCTCAGTGATAAGTAATTTGAATTTAAAAAAAAAATCGTAGGAGTGGCCCATCACAATGATTTTTTTTAATTTCATTTTTGTGCTACCATTAGCGTTTGCTGTTACTGAACTAAAATGTATATATTTTATACATGTGATGAGTACTTTCTATTGATATTATTAGGTTTAAATTTGGTCAGCAGCGTTACAGCTTGCTTTGCTTGCTGTTGTATTATTACACAGCAGCTAAAGAATTTTCCCCATGCAGTTTAAAGCATTTCAGTTCAACTCTACAAACCTTATTCCATTATATTTGCCTATAGCCAAATTACAACTTTTTACCAAACAAACGGTTTAATGAGTTCAATCATTGTTTAAAGAAGGTTGGACCCAGATCCTATCTTATTTGAGAGGCCACTCAGAAGCTTGGCAGCTTCTTTAAAGAGTTGTGCTATATGGCCAGGATTGAATTTTTAAAGAACAAAACTCTCATCCTAATTCAGTGATACCTGTATATGAATAATGTACAGGTACCATTTTACAGGCATAATGGCTTGGGTTATCACCGTATCATTTTTAATAATGTGAGCATTTTCTCAAAAAAGAAAGAGATTCATCAGTTTTAAAATTCAGCTGAAGAGAAGGTTGGTTTTGCCAATATGGTCAAATGGGAAATATGAAGTTAAGTATGGAGGTGAAGGCAGGATATAAATTCTGCAACCCATCTAGCAAAAGGATCTTTAATTTCCAGAAGAAGGAAATAACAAACCATTTTTATATTGTTGCCTGTCTATAAGAACATGGCTGAAAAATTCAAACAAGTTGCAGGTATATATTATGGATTAAATAATGATGAATGATTAGTGTCACTTAGAAACCTGAATAAGGTTGCCAGGATGCTTTGACCTGGAGAATATATGGCCAAAAAGGTATGGTCAGAACAGAGCATACGATCAGATCAACAGCTTTCCTTAAAAACAAAAAACACCTGGAAAACAAGACGATCAACACCTAACTTTCAGTGTCAAGCAAGAAAGGAGAAGAATAAATACCTTGATCAAGAATGTCACCAAGCAGAGGAACATGGGAGGTACTTTTAAGAAAATCATAAGAAAATGTACAGCTGAAGTAAGGAATATTAATTATGGTAGTAGTCTATTAGAGCAAATGAAAGTGGAAAGGCTGAACCGAACTCTTATATAAATTAAAGTATGAAATGATAATGACAAAAATATGCTTGAGACAGAGAGCACACTGAGTAACTGGAAAAGGCTCTCTGTCAAAAAATATGAAAAGAAACCAGCCTAGAGACTGGAAATAATTGGAGGTTGTACCCAGGGCTTTTTTTTTCATACAACGCCTAGAATGGAGTTCCGGCACCTTTTTTGGATGGAACCTTGTAGGGTAGGCAAGGCGGGTTGTATGATGTGTGTGAGTTCCGGCACCTTTTTTTTTTTTTTTTTAGAAAAAAAGCACTGGTATACTTAACTGAAGAAGAGAGAAATAAAAAGGAATGTACGAATTACTGACTTATTGTACTAATTCCTCACACCAAAAATTTTTCAGCCTAGGATCTTAGTAAAAAACAATAATACCAAATATGGAAAGAGAATAAAACCAAATGAACTATCAAGTTTCAAAAAAAGGCAGAGAGGCACAAGAACAGAAAGTGAATATTTAGAAAGTACATAATAGAGGAAATCGAGTACAATAAGGAAGTGGAGCTTACTTCATTGTACAATGCAAAGTTATAGATTGGGGAAAAAAGTATATTATCCCAGTTCTGTTTAATTTAGAATGAGTATTGTGATAATTTACAGTCATTGCGTGTTAGTATTTGAGACTCTAATATGGATTGCAAACTTGGAAATGATGTTATTTTTATCAGAGTCCCAAACACTATTAGAGATATGCAGATGACACTATTGTTTAAGCCAAAAACAAGCAAGACTTAGAAAAACCTTCTCAATAAGTAAAAAAGGGAAAGTGAAAAATCAGACTTAAGCTATAATATTGCAAATGCTGTTAGTGTCAACCAGCCTACCTAATTATAAGTTCACTTGAACCTAACAGCAAAGAAGTGAGAAAGATATCTAATTTTGTTGAAGAAAAGATCATGAAGAACAAGGATATTTCTATCACAGCAAAGAACAAGACAGTTAAAGCACTGGTCTTCCCAGTGGCCTCTGGGTATGATAGGTTGCACATTAAGAAAGAATGAAACAAGATGCTTTCAAATTATCAGTCTAGAGATATTTTCTGAGGATACCATGGAATGCAAAAAAACCTCCACATCAAATAAAGACTGACAGTTCTCTTGAAGTAGGAACAGCAAGCAAAAATTCACATACTTTGGACATGTGATTCAAGCTGATAGATAAGGGACTAAAAAAATCAATATGCCTGGGAAGTTTGAGAAGACAACAGATAATAAAGAAGATGGATAAATCAAAGAAATTACAGACCTGTCCCTGGAATAGCTACAAGTTGAGACTAAAGGCACATCAAGATATCAAGCATTTGTCCACATAATTACCATAAATTTTGAATTTGATAACACATAATTAACTGGGGAATTAATACCAATGGCAGGCAGGTTCAGATGCTATTAAAAGTCCTTTATAATACATTCTCAATATGGCCACTGGACCTCAACTTTACCACTGTCGGTTCAGAACCCTGAAATTATTAACCAACCAGCCATCTGTTGCAGAATCAAAATCAAATAACTTACTCTCAAGAAATGTATTTGTTAGCATGTACCTCCAAGTATCAGTTTACTATTTTATCCTCAAATAAAGGTTACATTCTGCAATCCTATCTGGTTCTGTGTAGGATTGGGCTAACTATTAATATGCAGACATAGATATGTCACTTTCACAATGGATTTTGCAGATTTCTAAACACTTTACACATTCAAGATAAATATGACATCTTGAGATAATTATGTGTCGTATTTTCATAGTTATACTGCAGAGAACAAGATATTAACAATAGTTGATTTCTAGGGCAAATTGAGCTTAATCTAGAATTTCTTAACTCCACGCTATTTCCCATTTGTGGTTTCTCTGAGTTATGGGCCTCATGTAAAATATATAGAACCCAATTTCATTCTGAAATGTTTCTTACACAACCTGGCAATTTTTCTTCAAATTCAAAAAGTCCTAGCTTTCAGCATTTGTTGCTTTGTTTGATAAAGCCATTTCAAGATATTTTTGAATGCAGAAGTAAATACACCAGGATATGGTTCAACTTCTTGTTCCACCAGGATAATTTCTTGAAAATATTGCAGCAGAGATAGGATGGTTTGCTATCATCTAATTTTCTCCTCTAACATACAGTTTAAAACATTGTTTCTTCCAGCTTCCTCTTTAACTTTACACTGACAACATAAAAAAAGCAGAAAGCAACACATTTGCATATTAGCATCTATTTGACAGGATTTCTTCTGTTTAAAACTACAGTTGGAGCAATATTATCAGAAAAGTGTGATAGTTTTTACCATGGCTATCAGTAATATCAGCTAAGAATGACTTTGATAGGAAGGATCCATATGCAGGCATGTACAATTTCAGCTATGTGATCAAAGCCTTGTTTCTTTATTGCAGGGGTGTCAAACGGCCGGCCCACGGGCTGGACGCATCACACAGAAGCCGCACCCACCCCATTGCCGGCAATGGCAAAACAGTCCCAATATGTCACGCGACGTCACATGATATTACAAATTTGACATGTCTGCTTTATTGGAAGAAACTAAAACAAAATCTGTATCATTGAACTAATGCATGAATATATCCCTCAAGGCTTTTTGTCTTAAATTGTTATGGATACATTTTTCAAATGTAGTAAAAAGTATGCATATACACTCATTTTTAAAAAAAGTTAGTTGAAATTTAATATAATTTCAGAACTCATAATTTCTAATAGTTTTCAATTTTTTAAATATATTTTTATTAAAAGTTTTAAGAACTGCAACAAATGAAATTAAAACAGAAAAAGTGAAAAATAAAAAAGGAACATAAAAAGCTAAAAATATAAGTCGACAGGGATTTCCTGTCACCATTAAATGTGGATATTGTCTTTCCTCTAATGAAAGATGCTACTTTATCCATCTCAGCAAGATTTGTCAATTTCACTAGTCATTCCTTCATAGTGGGTAGTGCCAACCACCAGTCATCTACTGTCCTTAATAATAAATAATCTGTATTCCCATGAAGGTCCAGTCTGTCTAATTTTGCTATTTTTAAAACCATTTTCATCAGAATATAAAATGTATTACCCCTTTATCCATTTAAAACCTTCCTGAATCACAATCTTGTTAATTCCAAAAAGAAAACAACTCACCAAGTGTCTTCAGAGTCTTTGATCCTCTTTGTTGTTTGGAATATCTCTCTTAGATTGTAAATTAATAAAATCCAAAGTTGTTTAAAGAAGAGAGGCTTTTGCCAGTTATATGTCTATAAAGCAGGGGTCTTCAAACTTAGCCCTTTTATGACTTGTGGACTTCAACTCCTAGAATTCCTCAACTAGGCGTGCCTGGCTGAGGAATTCTGGGAGTTGAAGTCCACAAATCATAAAAGGGCCATGTTTGAAGACCCTTGCTATAAAGGCTGTTTAGCAATTAAGGCATGTTGATAATCTGACTCCTAAACTGCTTAACTTGCAATCTGCCACAAGAAGCTCAATTCCTGTGGTCTCCTTGTGAGGAGTAGCTCTGTTAGGGCATAAATGGACAATCCTCCAAATTCTTCTTCTTTTTGAAAGATTTTTGCCAGCCAGAACCTGGCTCCTGGTTGCTGATTTCACTGTGGTGATGTCCCTGCTCATGAAGCCACTCATAGGGACATCCAGGGCTTTTTTTCTCATAGAACGCTCAGAACGGAGTTCCGGCACCTTTTTTGGATGGAATCTTGTAGGGTAGGCAAGGTAGGTTGTATGACATGTGTGAGTTCCGGCACCTTTTGTTTTTTAGAAAAAAAGCACTGGGGACATCTAACTTGCCGAAGGTCCTCATTTGGAAGTTGTATTTCTTCAATTCTAGTTAAAATGTTCTTGTGAAAAATATTCATAATGAACTTTTCAGAATTACTATGGTAAAAGCCATATGACTTCCAGTTTTCTTTTCACATTCATTCAGTAATAAATGAAAATTTGAATTTCATACAAATATACAAAGTACAACAGATCACTGACTCATAGTACCTCTCTGTTTTGTAATTCTGTATGCCCCTGCCAAATTTGACACCAAAAATATTTGTTTTTTAAAAAATATCATTGTTAGTTCCTACCAATGGTTTTTAAATTCCTTCTTTTACCTTAAATCTTTTACTGTATAATAGTATGCATTAAGTGTAAATCCTATGCTACTCTTTGTCCTGTATTGCCCTAGCAATAAAATAGATATAAGACCCCAATATATATAATTTCCATTACATTTAATCAACACTCTGAAATGCAGTAGTTTTTTTAAGGCCATTCTTGATAACTGTTAATCATTATAGCCCAGGGATTTATATTAGGACCCTGGGTTGAATTCAGAATTAGCCATATTAACAGGAAGCCATTTAAGATCAATGAAGTCTATATGTTAGTCATGATTGTCTCCAATGAATTCTGTTGGAGACTTAAGTCCACAGGTTTTGGGATATACAAGGAACAACAACATGCAATTGCAGTTTTTTAGATTTTTGTTGATCTTAAAAAATGGAAGGCCTTTTGCCATGATATTTTTAAATTCCATTCACATTTTTCTCAAAACAAAAAATGTCTCAATTTGAAAGATAATTTAGCAGTAATTTAGGGATCCCTGTTTTGAAATACAATGCTTCTTTTGAAATATATTTTATCGGAGCTTTCATCATGAAATATTTGTGCAAAATTATTCTGAAATTATAATTTAATAAGAGTGCAAATCCAGTACATAAGTATGATATTCATTCTTGTGACATAAATTCAAATATCTTAATTTGGAATAATCAAAATTTGAGCAGAATACTAATGTTTTTAGAGGAATCATGTTTTACAAATTAGCGTTTGAACAGCTGAAAATAAATCTACATGAAAGTTATGGAGCAGTTGAATCTCACATTACAAATACCTCAATTATAAGTGATAATATAATTAAAATTTGATAAAATAAAGCAAGCTGGGGTTTCAAAAGGGTATCTAAGAAGCATTAAACAGATCTCTATATTAATAAATTTTTAAAGAATGGACAAAATTGACCCCAAATCTTTTTAAAGTAAAATAAAGTTTTCTTTCTCCTTAGAATTTCTAAAATAAAATAAATAATAATTACATTCTACATATAAAATTATGACTATATACTATGGATAAAATTAACCACTATATACTATTGAAAGTCAAAATGCTGAAAGAATTATATATTTCTTCCTGACAAATAATTTCTCCTAAGTTGAATCCCTTATAAAGAAAAAAATATTACTTCTTAAAAGTACTTGGTATGTTTTAATTATTTTTAATTGTTTTGCTTGTTCAAGAAAAATATTTCAGTCATTTTTCAGTATTTCCAAGTACTGTATACTGAAGATATTTTTTTAAAAAAATGAAACTCACACAATGCATTGTAATCACAAAATTGTAAAGAAAAAATGTAAAATGTTAATTCATTGAGGCCTTTCAGTTAAATTTTATGTAGTTTCCCTTGGCTGGCCAAGCAAGAGCAAAATGGTGATCATGTTAGAAAAAACATAAGCCATGTTACCATTTCATTAAGAGAACATGTGTCTAACATTTGTGAAAGTATTCATTTTGAAATGGAATAAGTTATAAATAAAATAAATAACCACAAGTCTGTATTGATATTAACCACATAACATAAGGAATATTTTCAATGTACTTCTTTAAAATTATGTGCTTTATGTTTGGGTACAGAAGTTAATTTCAGAATTAATTTAAATTCTGGTTTGAATAAGAATTTGCGGAACAGGTTAAATTTCAAAATGGAGCTAATTTTAAAATGATGATGATGATGGTGATGATGATGATATGATGATGATTATGATAGTTCTACTGGTAATAATAGTAGTAATGTTAAACATGCAAATGTATGCAGAACTAGCAATTACAACATTTTGCTGGAGCATCTGCTTGTTAATGCTGACACTATGGTTATTAATCCTGTTTGTAGGTAAGCAGGTGATCCACCCTAATCAAGTTGCCATTGTCCAGGAACAATTCTCCCCAAGCCTTGAAAAAATAAAGTGGGCAAAGGAACTGATTACAGCTTTTGAAGAACATCAGCATGTAGGAAAGGTAAAACATTTTCTTCAAGACTTAGAATGTGGATTCAAATGAAAATCAGTGTCAAATGTTCATTGGGGAATTTAGATGAACCTGTTTAAAGATATAGTAACACACATATATAGAATACATTGAATAAGAGTATTTTTATCCAGGACACTGATGTTGGGAGAAAGTGTTGTGTCAAAATTTATGCCATCTTGGCTTTAAATGAAAACAATCTTCCTGAAAGATTATCTTTTAAATAAATGTAGATTAGATATTTATCCTCCAGTTAGTTCATTCCACTAAGGTTATACTGAGTTTTATCTTACTAAGATATTTGTTAAAGTGATAATTGAAAATCAGTGCTTCTTTCTTCACAGTGAGGGATTCTTTGCAGCCTTTCAGTAAAATTTATAGGGCAGCTTACAAAATACCCAACTAATTTCAACAGCATTATTTAATTATATACACTTGTTTTAGGGTTTTTTGTTTTTGCCTGCTCTGCCCAAATAGCAGGTACCAGTTATTTTTCTATGCACAAACTAGAGTTCCTGACAAGGTGGAGGCACTTTTATTGCAAAGTGAAGTCAGAATACATGAAAACCTATTTTTTGTTTGAAGGGTTTTTTAATATTAAAGACAGCATAGTAGCACTCATATATGATTGTTCCTAATTTAGTGCATCATTGAATCTCGTGTTGCCTGCTCTGTGGGTTTCTGCTATGTAAACATTGTGGTGATAAAGCACAATCTGTCTTCACTTTGTGCCAGTAACACTTAAATTAGGGGTCGCCTGAAGGAAAATTTTATGCTAGCTACAGCATTGTCAGCTAATTATCTTACAGGTTATTTGCTAGAATGTAGTTTACCACTGGGGAGGAGGAGTTGAAATTAAATATGCTTCTTTTAGAAAAAGCCAAATCTGACATGCTTATCAAGCCAGCAAAGTTGTTCAGAAGTGCAGAACAAAAAGTGTGATCTTTTGGTGCAATTTACCCAATATTTGATTGCCAGAATACAATATTCTTAGTAAAGCCAAGTATGCGCATACATAGCTACACAGAAAACCCCACAAGTGCATATGGGTTTCTGGCTATCTCTTATAGAGCCCATTAACATTAAACTGAGCTATGAAAATATACAATACGCAGAATAGGAATTGCATTGTTATGTCTTCTATTCTTTATTTTAAAGAAATACTTAGCTCTCATAAGCTATTGACATTTGATATTCTTTTGTATTGTTGAAATGTGGACATTTTCAATACCAAACTCTTCCTGAGCTATGGCCACAGTATCATTGCAGCTAGATAACTAGCATTCTCATAAATAAAACATTATCAAGTAATTCCAAAGATGTTTTAGCTACAGGTCCCTTCAGACTATTGGTGTATTTATACTGGAACTTACTTAGGATGATTTGAAATAAATTGAGATAAATGATCTACAATTAAGGACATATAGTTAAAGACTCTTTTACAGAGCATCTTGTTTCTCTTACCTGCTTTGCAATTGCCTATAAAATGTAGTCATGGAAATTGAACCTTCTGTGTGACCTGCTATTAACTCTGAATATTTATAAATATGGCACTAGATATTCATTCTAGCATTAAATGCTGACCTCATTAAAGCAAGTGAGAAAGTTAGCACTGTCTTCTCTAACAGCCTAGCATCATTTAGTGGGTTGAAACAGAATGTTTCCTGGGAATTTTAAATCAATCTTCAATCTTTAATCAAAATTGGAAAGTACGAGAATTAAAAATCTGATTTTTGAAAGATCAGTTAAGATATGACTACTTAATTTCCCCAAAGGGAAATTTTTTTATCACAATTTTCATCATAACTTAAGGAATCTAATTTTTAAATGTTCTATTTTAACATAGATAACTATCTTAAACTGAAAATTGTGAGCATTGTCCTCAATTATATTAATATATTACTCTTGTTTTCTTTGTAAGCCAGACACTAATATTACAATGCCAGCTTCTCCACTTTGTTTCTTCCTCTTTCTTTTATTAAGCTAAAGCTTTAAATTTCAGTGAAGCAGGAACAGAACTTTAGTTTGATACTGTTAAGCCTTGCATGAGGAAAAAAAATGTGAACATGTTTATATATGTGTGTGTGCATTAATTAAAACTGAAAGCCTGGAAAAAGGATTAGAGTGACTAGTCTGCTCTCCAATAAACTGCTAATCTTCAACCTCTGAAATTACAGATCATTGTTAATTGGAAATTCTTAGCAAACTAAGTTTGATGCTATCACTGAAAAATTGTTTATATTTACATAAAGCAAACAGTCCCCATGATTTGTCATAATCTGGAGAATACAGAAATATTTGCTTTGAGGGAATCTGAAATATGATAGGATATTTTAACTAAGATATTCTGATTCTAACATTATGATCATTTTGAAATTTTAGACATCCACTAAAATCAAAATGTTTTTGTTAGTTTTGTTAAAAAAAATACTATTAAAAACATTCAAAAAGAGTAATAAAGCATATTTTATTTAAACTTTATAGTATACTATATATCTTCCCTTCATACAACTCCCTATAAAAAGCTGAACAAATCAATATTTAACTGAGATTCTTCAGTTATATGTTTTTTCTAAATTTTTATCCATAAGAAATAAATATAAAGGAGAATTCTTTCAAAATATATTCTAAAGGAGCATGCATTCATTGCACTGTACGTTTCTTGAGATTTAAATAATACAATAACTCTATTTACTACAATTTAAAAAACTTAAATCTGTACAATTTTTAACCTTTTCTAAAACATTCTCAAAACAATTCACAGTAAAATACAAGTATAACATAATTAATTTGCCCCAATGTAGCACATTATTAGTCATGTAAATTTTCATAATTATTTTATAGCCTTTTAGAATAATATTGACTTTCAGCATCAGTTTTGAAATAAATTTTAATGCATTTAATTTTGAATAATGTGTTAGTAATTTAAGCAGAAAACAGAAATACTCTGTTAACTAGCTAAAAGGAAGACAGTAGAGGTAAGAGCTTTCGTGTTGTAGAAAGTGCCACTTAGTGTATAAGAATCATTAGAGGCATAAAACAGCTAAATGTCAAAATGAAAATTTTCAATCTATCATCACTGTACATATTTAACTCCGTCATTTGTTCTGATAGCTGTTTGAGGGTGATCTTGAATAATAATAATAATTATTAATAATAATGTTAAATGATAGAACATTGTCAACTTGCTACTGGTATCACATCTTTTCTAACATTCCCTTTACGATTTAAACCTGCTTTGGATTTTTCATTTTCATCTTGCTGTTAACAGTAGGAAGGTCCTAATTTGTAAAATTGAAGGGATGTTGTTGTTATTGTTATTATTATTATACAATATTTGACATAATAGTGGGCACATTACGATATACTCTGAATACAGCCTTCTGAAAATTTAAGATTACCAGTTTTCATATTGCAAGATTTGTCTAAAAATATCTGGACAATAGCTAGTAGAATTGTCCAAGTAGAATTCTGAATATTAAGCAATTCTTTAGTGTTCTGGGAAATAATTGCAACTGACCCCAAATAAATTCTGCAAATTAGTAAAATAATGCAGAATTATCTTTATTAGTTATTTTTTCTTGGTTAAAGTATGACTTTTAAGTGTAAAGATCTTTGTGAATAAACTATTGATCAAAGGTAGATTGGAAAAACATGGATTTCAGTCCCATCTCCACCAGGGATTCTTATCTTAAGGCCTGAATATATATTAGCAAATAATCTACACCATAGTGCTACAGGATTAGTCACCTAATATGCAATATAATCTTAGCAGGTCCTATATAAATTTTGCTGCTACATTTTCAAAGGGTCAGAGGTTGCCCAACAGTTTACTTCAACAGCAAATTGGAACTATTAAAAATGAAATAATTTCATTTAATTGCATAATTAAAACATAAATTTTCACATGCGTATCCCTAGAGGATTGCAGTGCAGTCTGAAATAGGAAATGCATTCTTGTTTCTACAGCTGAGCTGGTGTTTATTTGAAACCCTGAGAAAGGAAAAACGTAAAGTGGTATGTGCATATGTATATTTTGCTTTGCTGAAAAGAAACAGACATTTTGAACATATGTTATACGCGACTATTTCAACATTGTTTTCTGAATCATCACAAATTTAAAATAGCCTAATGGGGATCTGAAAAATGAAGAGGAAATATAATCAAAGGAAAACAAATACTTCTTGTCTAATGGAATATTTCAAAACATTCCCTCAAATGAAATTAGAGTTTGTGTGCACAAGAATGTCCTGGGGGTATGATAAACCTCAATAAGCCAATATTTTTCACTAGAAAGGGAAAATATAGGGCTTCAGGAGCTCGAGTGTGAAGGAAATTATGGCAGGATGGGATATTAGGATTGAGGTGATCAAGATGTGCTGAAACTCATTCTGTAAGCTGTAACTGCCTGAACTAATTACTCCAATGCAAACAATTTTTACTCCAATTAGGTCTTGGGCCATGTTTGGGAAATACATACTTTGATTAAAAGTGTTATGCAGATTATCAAATTATCAATTTTTTTAAAGACCATTTTTTTATCCCTTCAAGGAATTCATGCAGTTTGCTCTGCAGTGCTTTGCTTTCAAAAAATATTTTTTTAAAAAAAAAACACACTTCTTTACAGTTTTGAAATTCCACGTTCTAACCAGATCAGAGCCACTGAGAAGCTGAGATCAGCGAAGGTTGACTAGATGCTTCCACCTATGGAGGTTCCTCTCTATGGAGGACACTACACTCTGATAAGCACTGATCAAGAAGGGAATATTTTTCACACTAACAAAATACCAGGGAACTGAAACTTTATTTAGCTCAGGGAGTATTTCTATAGAGTACTTAGCCTAATTGTTCATTCAGCCTCTGGTCACAAAGAGTAACATGAAGCTGCCTCATACTGACTCAAGCTAATGGTTCCTTCTCATCACAGATGACCTATATCAACTATCCAAACTTGTGTTGTCTCCAGAAATGATGGACTACAGTTGCCATCACTCCCACCACTAGGCATAACAGAAATGACTACTGCATGTAGCTCAAAGGCAGCAAATTCGGCATGTTTATTCATTGGCAGAAAATTTCCTAGGGAGAGATGTTTGGCATTTGAATCTTTTTCTCTGGCTTAGAAATTAAGGCCACATTCATACATAGCATCTGATCTACGACTGAATCACCAAGTACTTGAGTACTTAGGCATATCTGAGACATCCTTCCCAGCTTGTACAAAGATAAAGTGTATGAAAACAAACAATCATATTTTTACATCTGATGTTGTTTGATCTATACTGCCCCCATCACATTTTCAGGTATAAAAAGATGGGCAAAATGTTGAAAAATTCTGTCCTTCAGATCCAACTCCCAGCATCACACTCAGCCACAGAGTGTGATAGGCTATGAAAAGGCCTTGTAGCAAGGTCACAAAGCCATGTCTTCCAAATCTTACCTAGCATTTCCCCCCCCCCCTTGGAGCTCCAGGTATAAAGGGGGTCAGCTGCCTTCTTTCTTCTCCAAAGCAGGGCAGAGCAAAAGAGCTAATGTTCTGGCCATATGGTCTTCTCACGGCATACCAAGAGCATTCAAAGGAAAGCCATACAGCCTAAATACCATTCCAACTTATTGAAATGGCAGCAGTCCCATATTTTGTTTCTATTTGGCAGGGATTTTGCTAAAATTAAACCAGTTACCACTAAAGCTTGACTGAAAATTATTCATTTTACCCCATTCAGTCTAGAGGTAAGAGACATGAACTAAGAGAGACATTTGACTTATTGCCAATTTAATTTGACTTCCTTCACATCCTTCCTAGCTTGCTTACTTTTTTAGCAACAATATCTCCATGAATCTCCTTATCCTGCAGCTTGATCAAGGCCATGGGCATCTCTATGACTGAAAAAAATCTTGTTTGTTTACTCAGAAGTAATTTCAATGTATTTTGAAGTAAAATAGGTTGAGGCCTAGCAATATCAGCATCAAAACATTTGTCATTCTTTCACATATGCTTTCACAATGCTGCTATTAAATTTCCCAGAAAGATACACTTTTTCTTCTTTAGAGCAGACAATACTAAGGTAAGCAATATTAACAGGTAAAGATAGAATACTGGTAGGAAATGTCATGTTTTTTTTATTTAGCAAGGGCTGAATTAAATATTTAATTTAGAATATATATTTTTTTGACCATGGTATCCCTTCCATTCATTTCACTGCTGTGATCTAACATAATTAAGTCTTTCTCATTATATGGAAAGCTTTTATATTTACCTTTAAGAAGCAATGGATGGAAACTAATCAAGTAGAGATCCAACCTAAAAATAAGGATAAATTTCCTGTCAGTTAGAATAATTAATCAGTGGAATGGCTTGCCTCCAGAGGCTGTGGGTGCTCCATCGCTGGAGATTTTAAAGAAGGGAGTGGACAGCCATTTGTCTGAAATGGTGTAGAGTCTCCTGCTTGAGAAGAGGGTTAGACTAGAAGACATTCAAGGTCCTTTCCAATACTTGTTCTGTATTCTGATACTATTTGTTCTTATTTTGGCTTGCACACAGTTGATGTTGATGTTCACACAGGAGAAGAAAGCATGACTTCTTTCTTCTGACCTGGCTAGGATTATTTTTTTTAAAAGGGTGGGGGAGTTATATTTGACAAGAATTGTTTTCAAATATAATAAACATAATATATAATATATATAACATATATTGATAATTATAAGTTATATAATATATAACTTATATGTTATATATTAATTTTATTAATATATAGTAATAACTTAATATGTCATATAAATATTTGTTATATATAACATAATATAATAAAATATAATCAACTGCATTAATAGAGGGATAGAGTTAAAATCACATAAAGTGTTAATACCACTTTATAATGCCTTGGTAAGACCACACTAAGGAGAAATTTCCTGACAAAACAATCAGTAGAACAACCTGCCTCCAGAATTTGTGGGTGCTCCAACACTGGAGGTTTTTAAGAAGAGACTGAACAAGCATATGTCTGAAATGGTATAGGATTTCCCACCAGAGCAGGGAATTAGACTAGAAAACCTCCAAGGTTCCTTCCAACTCTGTTATTCTGTTTTTCTGTTGACTTTAAAGTTTAATTATTTATGTCTACAGTTCTGTAAGTGAGAGACACTATTAGCAGCTTCTCCAATCTATTGTCAGTAGTGCTATACTACCATTTCTGTCATTCATTACAGACCAGGGGATCAGATGAGCACCAGCTGGAACAAAACTAAACTATCATTTTGGTTATATCTTCATCTTCATACACTTAAACTTTAACAGAATAATACAGTTGGAAGGGACTTTGGAAGTCTTTTAGTCCAACTCCCTGCTCAGGGTGTTAACCAGAATTACAAGGAAAAAGTAATGTTCCTGACTCCATAAAATGGTTCCAGCATTCTTCTCATGTCATAATGAATTTCTACCTGATTTTTTTAAAAAAAAAATACTTAGATTCTCTTATTAAGAAAAACAATTAAATGGGAAATAAAGGCAGGCAAAGTACCAGTCTCATACAGAATCCACAGATATTTTTAGAAATCAAAATGGTAGCTGCAGTCCAGTGTTTTATCTGGAAATATCCCCTTTGCCATAAGAGAAGATTGATAAGTTGAGAAGGCAGAAAGCATCCCTGGGAAGGCATGCCAGGAGGAGAACCTAACCTATTTTTTCTCTCGAGGAAATGTCTATATTATAACTGTTCACATCTTTTCGTGGCAGCTATTGTGGAACAATCCTCGTGACATTTTCTCAGAATTCTGAATGTTGGGGACCTCTGCTCCTGTGGATAGGGTATAGATTCAATAGTAACAAAACTAATTGATTTATCTTCACACTGATAAAAGTTACATCTAAGCTACAATCCTGCACAATTCATTTAGAGTCAATGGAATTATTTCTTAGTAAATATGTATAAAGAAACTTCCTCTTACACATTTGTCCATAATCCTTGGGAACTTTGGGGATGCATCAGTGTAGTTTTCCTGGATAGAGACAATGTAGAACTGCTCTGATATTTTTGTTGAGCTTTCCATGCTAGCCACCAGTCCTAGCATTTCTGGATGTTTTTACATGAGTTATGGAAATATTGACCCATTTGTCAATGTAATACTACAGATTAATGATTGGAACAGCATACTGTTCTTTAGGATTTTCATGTCATCTCAGCAAACGTATCTAAGCTCATCAGCTAAGGTACATATATATTTATCCTCATTTGTAATTTCATAGGTATTTTATACACCATTTTCCTCCTTTAGTTTTCCAATGAATTATTTTAGTAATACAATTCCAAGACTATAATTTCCTTTTGGCATTTTGTTACTACTATCATCTAATTTTGTTTGTCCTAGTGCAAGCAAATGGTTGTAACATCTCTTCTCATCTCTGCTATTGGAATGAGGCTCTTCAGCAAAATTGACCTAATTATAAACAATACTGTTTATAGTGAAAATTTAAGCACTTTGTATGTTTTCTTTGTGTTACTAGTCCTAATAATATCAGGATATTTTTGTTATTGCATTAGTTTTCTTCAATATAATATGGACCACTTCTCTGTATTCAAACATTGGTTATAATTCTCCTCCAAACAGCATGTTTGTTAAGACTCTTTTACTATTTGTTCTTTTTCAAACAATCCTTAATTTTGCTGCTGCAGTGACAATTGGTCTCTCTTTTTATTTTTTACTCTTTAAAAATATACTCTTTGTATAATCTTACCTACAGCTTTCTAAACTGCATCAGAGATTCTCCAGTGCAGGTTACAAATATGACCTATTTCTCTAGTTTATCTATCACTGTTATCTTTTTTTTCCAGTAACAGAAAGTTAGAAGTCCATATGTGGACCTTTTGGATAAGATTCTGTTCTAATATTCACAATAGCTAGAATCCAGCATTCATCCTCTTCGGTAGGTGGACCTTCTTCTATCAATTTGGAACCAGAGAGTCAGTTCCATCTTCTCTCCCATTGCCCTGCTCCCAGAACACAACATAAACCTCTCTTTTACTTCTCTGATATCAATATTGGGGCTGAGTTTTTAATAGGTTTTATAGTAATACTCCTTACTCAAGACTGTGATTACTGTGGGTTCCTAATCAGCAAAAAGAAAACATTCCTTATGGATTATAATGCCGAAAAACTGGAACCTGGCAAGATTGCTAAAAGTGCAAAATGAATTGCTGGGTCCACTCTCCTCAATATTAAATCACTACTGTCATTTATGCAGCTCATGTGACTTCTTCCTGTCTTTCCTGGGAGCAGAAAGGAAGAATATTTTGTCTTAGAGAAAAAAGTTAACATTTCTCTGGTTTGAGCTTGATTCCTGATAACTACAAGGAAATAGGCATGTTGCTTTTTTCAGCAGCAGGCCTCCCCCCCCCCAAGTTCACATTCTACTTCACAGCCCCGGAACCCAACCTGATCCTGCTTAGCTACTGTAAGAGCAACCAAGATCAGCCAAATGCTGCTACAAACTGAGGACTCTCCCTCTGATATGGGTTAAGAAGCAGGCAAAATAAATCAAAACTCTTTTCCTTCCCCAGTTAATGCATTTTAGCTTTTGGCTCTTTTTTCTTACATCTGTGTTTTGCATTTCTTTTTCTTTTATTTTATTTTTCTTTTATCATTGTACCCCTGGGCTCTTTCTAACACCATTAGAATATGTCTCTGATTCATGTGGGATGTAATGATTCTTGGCTAACAACCAAGTATTATGACTAACTAAAGCCTGAAATGTTATTTTCCCAAGATCTCTTTTGAGAATATTATTTTTTTCTTTGCAGGGTGCCTTTACATTCCATGGCAGCATGATAGACATGCCATTACTGAAACAGGCCCAAAATATTCTTACACTTGCTACTGCCATCAAGAAAAAATAAGCTGCTAAATAAACTTTTCCCGAAGAGTGATTCCAGGAGCTGCTTCAAGAAAAATTACGTAATACTGAGAGAGAGAATAGTGCAATGTTTCATATTTCAATTGAATTCAGAATACATGTCAAACAACTTTGGTCTACTTTTTGTACTGAATGAGAATGCTAAGATTGGAGCCTGTTTCCTATGACAAATGAGTTGTGACAGACCTGAAAGCAAAACTGTTTTCTTTGGAAAAGCGACCAATTAAAATCAATCAGTGATGTGGACAAACAGACTTCAATTAATATTTGACTCAGAATTTTTTTTTTGTGAAGAGCAGAGTTGCCAAGGGAGGAAAAAGTTCTTTATCTTTCGTGGGTATGTAGAAAAGGGGCCCTTGGCAAGCATATTTTGTTATGCAATGAAGAAAAGAACTGCTCTTTGCTTAAAATTCTCTTTTCTACATAACAAGAAGTCTTAAGAGAGGTCTTTGGTAGTTTCAGAGACTTGACACATACAGTATGAAGGAATCCATAGACATTCCTTCCTCAACTTCTATTCATTTTGCTTTAAGAGTTATACTTTTTTCCTTTGCTTTAAGAGTTATATTTTCTCCTAAAAAACATTTTCTGGCACTGTTCTGTGTAACTTTTAAAGGCAGAATCTCTTCTCTGACTAGATTTCCAGCTTAGCTTCTTTCAAGATGTATTGCTTTTAGAATAATTAATCTAAATTAACAATTGTGGTCCAATGGATTTTGCTGCCTGCAATAGAAAGTGCAAGCTCGAAACCATTTAATATGGATTACAAAACTTCTCAAGAGGTTTGTAGTTAAAACATTTGTATGCATCAACTAGGAGTTCAAACTATCTCCTGTATCTTTTTTCAGATGTTTTAGAAAATTAAATAATTATAAGTTTTCCCATTTCACTGTGCAGAGACAACTGTCATGTGGACCTCTTCCCACCTAAATGAACACCTTCTATTTTTTTTCAAGTGCAATTGGATGCATGATTTATAAACGTGGAGTTTGGTAAATCCCTGTAATCCTAAGTGCCTATGGAGAAGGGATTTATCAAAAGTGCTTTTTAAAAAGCATCTCACTGTTGAATCAGACCACTAGTTTTTCTTCAACATGCTCTGCACTGATTTAGTATCATCACAAAGGGTGAGAACAGAGGAATTAGACATTGTAAATTTTAGAAAGCTTTTTTTCCCTTAACACTCAATGATAGTGCTACTTGAATCTCTGCAGATAGCCTTATTACAGCATTTTCAGCCCTGCAGAAATCTGTTTTGAATGTGACCTTAAATGAAGGGCATAGTTACCATGCCTTTTATGAGCATATTAGTAAAGTCTGGTTTTAAATTAGTATGAGAAGAAAACTGGGTGTAATTCCTCAGAATGATTAATCCAAAATTGCAATTTGTGTATGTATTTAGAAGGATTCATGGCAGAATTATAGGTCCATAGACCAAATAGATACCTGATTTTTCAGACTCAAATTGTCCTCATGCACTGGTGACCCATTTCCATTCACTTCAAAAAAGATCATTCCAGCTCAACTAGAGATATTTCTAACAGAACTGAACACAGAAAGAGATTTATCTAACTGGCAATGAACAGCCTTTGGTTCAGTCCTGGGCATGGCTGAGAAAGATTCCCCTTGTGAAACTAAAGGATAGTATACTGTTGAGATATGCAGAGATAATATACTGTTGAGATGACTTGGTGTTTGGAGATGGTGTTTCTATTTATATCAAAGAAGTCCTTCATTCATCTACTCCCCTTATATTAATCTATTTAATCTACTTCACTTTCCATGGTGCCACTTAAAACCAGGGGAGGCAGCTTTCTGGACTGGTGGTGGGTATCTTTAAAATGTTGAGATCATGTTGTGAGCACTTTTATAAATTGGCTCACCTATTTGCAGTAAAGCTGCACTTATAGCTATGTCTTATGATAAAAAGACCCATTTAACATACCAGTCCCTCCTTCCAGCCTCCACCAGGGGCTCTCTACATCATAGTTTGCTGTTTTGTTTTTCCCAAAGCACAATGATGCATTTTCAAACAAAGCCCTGGGTGAAAACCAATAAATACCCCCCCTTTTTTAAAAAAAAAAAGTCCTTTAGGCCCAGGAGCCAATTTGCAAAACACATGTTGGGTGACTGCTTCTCTACAGCTTCAGCCAAGATAATAATGATGATAATGATGATGATGATTCCCTAAAATAGTATACTTTTATTGTACAGACAAATATCTTAGAGACTATCTTCACATATTTACCCTAATTCACTTGGGATCATTTTTGGGTTTATGTATCAAGCTGAATCTTAAACTAATCATGAACCCCACCACATGTGGTTGGCCACATAGTGGTTCTGTGCATCATGCAAACACAGCTAGGGAGGTAGTAAAATAGGATACAGGGACATTCACAGGGAGGGGAGAGCGATGATGATTGATTTAACTACACAATTGGAGTCCTACCTAATTCACGTAAAGAGGAACGGAACTTCAATTACACCATTGCAGTCATCTTGACTTTTTTGAACACACACACATATACCTTGTAGATGCTCCCAATGGCATAGTAAGTCCTGCAGGGTATGCCTTAAGACAGGGCTTTTCAACCAGTGGGACGGGTACCATCTGTGGTACACTGGCGCCTGGCAGGTGGTATGCGACCATCCTAGAAAAGTGGTAGCAGGGGAGGGGAATGAGCTGAACCGGTGGCAGCACTGCACAAGCCTGAGCGAGAGATGGCTGGAGCTGCAGGGCTGTCAGGGTTCAGCGGAAGCGCCAGGATCAGCACTTCTTCGGGGCTGTCGGGGCTCAGTGGAAGCGCCAGGCTCCAGCTGGAAATTGGCGCTGATCCTGGCGCTTTTGCTGAGACCTGAAGAAGCACCAATCAGCTGGAAAGCAGCACTGATCCTGGCACTTCTGCTGAGCCCAGAAGAAGCGCCGATCAGCTGGAATGTTGCAGCATCTCCAGGGTCTTGTGATTTGCATTCAGATGCTTGGCAACTGATTCATATTTATGACGGTCACAGTGTCCCAGGGTCATGTGAAGTGACCAAAACCTGCTGCAACCACCCAGCAGACGGGGGAATAAAAATCAAACATCCCTACACACCACCCCCGCTGCCAATCCTGAACAGAAATGCTCACAATGAAAACCTCGGACAGGAGGAAGAGCACCGCTGGGTGGGCAGGCAGATGTCTTGCTCGGCTGTGGCTTGGGGGGCACTTTTTTCAGTGCCACTGTAACTTCAAACAGTCACTAAGTGAACTGTGTAAGTCGAGGACTACTTGTACTTTATCACTTTTTTCCTTTTTTTTTTTTTTGGTCATCAAGTTTTTGACACCTTGCTAGGCGACTTGTGGTACTTGGATGTTGCCATATCTTAAAAATGGTACAATGGGTGAAAAGGTTGAAAAGCCTTGCCTTAAGATTCAAGTTGGTTGTATGAGATCCTGATTAATATGACTTTGAAAAGCCATCTCTTGACTCAAATTAAAGCATTCTGCATCATGTCACCCATCATCTACCGTATATGCCAGCGTATTAGGCGACCCGGCGTATAAGACGACCCCCATCTTTATAGCCGGGCCACATTCCTAGAACGTCATCTTATACGCTGGAAACTACCAGTGTTTCCGGCGTATAAGACGACTCGGCGTATAAGACGACCCCCGTCTTTGGCGCTGATTTCAGCGCTCGCGGAAGTCGTCTTATATGCCAGCATTTACGGTACTTTTGTACCACAGATCGGAATGGGTGAGCTTGGTCCCCATTGAAATTGAAAGCAATTTTTTGTCCTTTTTTATCTGAATCATGGGCCTCTCCTCTGGTCAATTAGCTTGCTAGCAAAGGGAATAGGGCAAGATTTATTTTCTCAATGGATGAAGAGTGGTTTGACTTCCAGCTGCATACAGGCTGCCCCTTGGCATAAATTCGGTGGGTGGGAGAGGGTGGCCTTGAGAAGACTTGTTTGCATGACAGTGGCCATGCAGCAGCAGCGGCTCATCTGGGCTGGGCAGCTAAAGGGCTTAACCCGGCTGTTTAGGAGAGGTTAACCCAACTTGTAGGCAGGGTAAATAAACAGAACAAACTGTCTTTGTCCTCTATTCAGGCCAGCCTCTCCTCCAAAAGCACGCTGCATTGAAGGCACAGAGTTCAACTTGTGGCTGCCAGAGGGACTCCCAAGGCAGTTGTGAGTGCCAACAATCAGTCAGTTTGTTTCTTTTCCTCATTAAATCATCGCCTTTTGTGCGGGGCCCCGCAACTTGTGTTTCTTAAGAAATTAACAGAATGCGGAGTTGCAAACCGGGCCTCAACCTTTTCATGACCTACAAGATGCTCTTAGACGGGCACCCCAGGAAAGCAGCACTGTTTACTTAAATGGGTAAATAGAAAACACTTGTGGGAGGTGAGAGAGACAAGGAGTCATTTAAGCCATCCTCTTAATAAAATGTAAGTGTTTGGATCCTTATACTAAGGAAATGAAAGCTCTTTTTGAGCACCAGAAGTGGGTTTTAGTGACAAAGGTCAGCCCTGAACTATACAAACATTTCAGGCCAAGTGCAGAAATCTTTTGAGTAACCAATGCTTAGCTTTTTAAATTAAGGGGTGGAAATTTGGGGGATGGGGGAGGAGCCTAAAAAGTGCCCCAAGATAATCCTCTGACTTGTTAAATCTTGCAGTCAGTCTTAGACATCCCCCCTCACCACCCCCAATTGCATTCTATGTGAATCCAGGTGTTCTGTTGTACAGCAATGTGTGATCTGGCTCTCAATCCTCATCTCATTGAATTAGCCACCCATCTTTCTTGGCTTTTTTCAGAGATTTGATTCATTACTTTAAAATGTTCTTTTTCATTTCTATTTTTTAACACAGTTCTGTGTGCAGACAAAACCCCAAACCTGTTTGCTTATTTCAGGACATTTATTTCTGGAAAAAAAAAAAGGCAGATCTATTCAAGCACAGAGACCAAAGTCTACAGCATGTGCCAAGCAACACTTTCTAACATTACCACAACCATTACTCACAGTTTACAAATCACTGCGGCTAAAATGCCAAGCTAAATAAGCTCCTTATCAGGCCAACCCTCTCAGCAATAGTACAATTGGTTTAATTCGCTGAGGATACTGGGGTTTTCCTATTGCTGGTTTTAGCTTTATGTCCAAACAGCAGCCGTGCATGGGGCAGGGTATTATATAACTAAATGTACCTCCCTATGAAGAAAGCCCTGCACATGGGAAGCTAACAGGCCAAGCAAAGCTAGGCTAGATGCCAAGTACTACCTAGAAAAAGCACCTTTTTCAAACCAAAATTCAGGTTTCTTGTTACTTAGATCTTAGATTAGGGGGTGAATCGGAGCACTCCAGCCCATACTTCATTTGAGGTGATGGGAGTCATCTTCCATCCATCTAGAAGCACTACTTTGGTAGGACCACACCTAGGCACAACTTGACCCAGATGTTGAACCAATATCTCTGCAGAGAGGACTGTCCTTAAATGGACAGGAGCTTATCTAATCGGGTCAGATGTTCTGTCCGAGTTGGTCCTTCTCCCCTCAACCATGAGAGTAAAGGGTGTCCTCTTAAGCAGGCTTGGCTACTTGGAAGCTGCTAGCACTGAAATTCTCCTTCAGGTCCAACTCTCTTTCTGAACAGCCCAGGTAGTTTTCTTCACAGTGGGAGGTAAGGGTTTGCCATTGCCTCTTTCCAGCAAGGCATTTTTTGATGGTCTCCACTCCAAGTCCTATCTGGATCTGTTATACTTAGCTTCCAAGCTCAGACAAATTCTTCCCAGAGAGAAAAAAATCAAAAAGGAAGCATTGCTCCCAACTTTGGCTAGTCCAAGGAGGTAGAAATGATCAGTCTGACAGGAAGCAGTGTGATGCCCGCTCCTTTCCTTCCCATTGTAGATTCAGGGTAAGAGACCCCAGGGATGGAAAATTAAAATGGATTTCTCTATTCCCCCCCCCCACCCGATTTATTTTCATTATTTTCCATCGTACCCTGGGAATAAGGATTCTTGTCTTCTCTTAATCTTTGGCCTTGAGGGGTTTTTCAAGCATAATGTCTTTATTGTTTTATGGCGAAGTTAAATGACAACCAGGGATAGCCCATGTTTAATTGCTGAAGCAAAGATGGTGAAAGAGCCACCCTGGAATTATGGTCAGGTGGAATTTGAGGAGGGGGGGGAATTTAGCCTTAGTCTGGGCTGTCCAGTTCTACCTACCTTCACAGCAAGATATGCACTTTTGCTTAGGGGAAATCCTAGCTGAGGGTTTATCTCCCTTTTGGGGGATAACATAAACACAAGTAAAAGCTCGTGACAGCTGAAATATTGATTCTCCTGAATATAAAGTATTTGAATCCCCTTTCCCCCCCCCCAAAGTTCTTTTTTTTAAGTGGGGCACTGAATATAGGTATTTCTGGGTGAAAAAAATATATCAAACATGGAATGGAAGAGGAAAAAATCTGTCCCAAATTCTCTACAGGCTTACTTGATATAATATTCCCAGAACTCAGAGGGGCTATATTTGAAATTGTAATATATAGGGTTGTGATTCTAAATTCTTTATTTCTAACATTTCAACAAGAAAATTGTTATGGGCTTTGTTTGTTTCTTTTCTTTGATCTGTTTGGATTTGTGTGTCACTAAGTGGGTCCAGGCTGACTTTTTTTCTTCTTCTCTGGGGTGACCCCTTCTG